GATTAGAGATTCAAAAACACAGGAAATACAATAGTAACGCATGGGACCATAGAGAGCGGCGTGACCAGAAATGTTAATAAAGCTCTTACTCACAAACTGTACTTGTTAGACTAGTGTCAGGAATGAAACAATTGTTGACTGCTTATTTTAGTTTGTCTGCTAATCTTTTCTTGCAAATTAACATTCCCACATACATCAACCCTCTTATATATAATCATAAGCTCTGGCCCCACATAAATAGTGACATACTTGTTTATCCAGACTACTTGAAAATCCGTTTACTCACTTTCCCAGTAATCGCTGTGCACCAGACAGAAGAATTACGCGCTCTCTTATAGGATGAATGAGGCTGTGTAAAATATAGTTACATGATTGATTGAAGGAATAAAGCGCTGATGATTATTTACAATTTTGGCCTTCCTTTGAAAATGCTCATTAGCAGATCGTTTCCTGGCTGCGGTGGCCTGATAGAGTAGCTGTGAAATGGAGCGTGGAAGCGGCTTGGCCATGGTAATGACGGATTCACTTTCTGTCTAAAAGCAGCTCGCAAACAACTAACAATGTAGGACAGAGGGCAGAAAATCAGATGAAGTTAATAGTTTGAACATTGTTCTGGAAATAATTAAGGTCTGACAACGATTACGTTGCCTCAATAGACACATTGACGTACAAAGACGTAAAAGGCCAGCTAATACAAGGGACTTCACAAAAAACGTCACACAAAACAAAGTGAAAAGGTTTTGCAGAGGCTGTTTTCTCCTACCGCGCCTCACAGACCTGGAACTAAATCCAAACTCTATACGTGGACAATCATCACTTCGTAACACCAACCAGCTGAAGTCATGACATGGACAATCAGACCTGCTAACATGGCTGCCAGTAACAAGGAGTGCAAGTGTCTGAATGCAACGGACATGTGCGATAGAGGGTTGTGTGCAATAGATGTGTATGTGCAATATCAGGTTGTGTGCAATAGATGTGTATGTGCAATAGAGGGTTGTGTGCAATAGATGTGTATGTGCAATAGAGGGTTGTGTGCAATAGATGTGTATGTGCAATAGAGGGTTGTGTGCAATAGATGTGTATGTGCAATAGAGGGTTGTGTGCAATAGATGTGTATGTGCAATAGAGGGTTGTGTGCAATATGAGGTTGTGTGCAATAGATGTGTATGTGCAATAGAGGGTTGTGTGCAATATAAGAGGGTTGTGTGCAATATGAGGTTGTGTGCAATAGATGTGTATGTGCAATATCAGGTTGTGTGCAATAGATGTGTATGTGCAATAGAGGGTTGTGTGCAATAGATGTGTATGTGCAATAGAGGGTTGTGTGCAATAGATGTGTATGTGCAATAGAGGGTTGTGTGCAATAGATGTGTATGTGCAATAGAGGGTTGTGTGCAATAGATGTGTATGTGCAATAGAGGGTTGTGTGCAATATGAGGTTGTGTGCAATAGATGTGTATGTGCAATAGAGGGTTGTGTGCAATATAAGAGGGTTGTGTGCAATATGAGGTTGTGTGCAATAGATGTGTATGTGCAATAGAGGGTTGTGTGCAATAGATGTAGATATGTGCAACAGTTTGAATTGTTCTACGCTGTGACACTGTGTATGAATTTCTGTTTATGTTCTTAACGGCTGTATTTTTAGAACATCTTAGAAAAAAGTATGTTCAACCATAAATGCTCATTGACATGTACTGTCCCAGTCAAATGAATAGATAAATACAAACACAAACGTTTTCGGAAAAATTCAGGTCACAATATAATCGTTTGAACAAAAAACGATACACAGTATAACTTAGACCATTTTCATCATTTCCACCGATCAGGAGCAAAGGTAAATTCATTTTCAGCAAAAAGGTCCTGGGTTCAATTCCACCTCCAGAGAGGACCTTTATGTGAGGAGTTTCCATGCTCTCTCCATGACTGTGTAGGTTTCAGGTTTCACCAAACACTAAAACATGTCCAATAGGTCTGAATGGAGATGGTCAGAGGCTTTGCTGCGCCAGTGTCTCCGATGTCTTGCTTCTGACATCGCCGTGTGAGGAGTGAATAGAAAAAGTAAAGCACATTGGCTGACCTTGGTCTGTGAAATCAAGATTACTCACATTCTAGTCTTTGTTTAAAGGTGCTTTTCTCAGCTTTTACCAAGAAGTTTACTGAAAAACTAGATATATTCTAGTGCCATAGAAATAACGTTTCACCCCTTTTTAGGAAATTCTCTCAAAAATACTGCCAAAAACAAAACCTGTTGACGATTGAATGTTGTATGTTTGTATGTTGACACAATTTTCAAAGAGTCTGTTTTTGCAAATTAACTTATTATATACCAAACTGAAATATCAGGTAAATCAATAACATATTTATTGCATGAAGCAGGTATCAGACGACAGCAGGTCACCACAGCTGGAGAATGCATCTGTAATCACAAATAATAGCTTTTTTCACCTCAACACTGACATTTGAAATTGAGACAGGCTTCCTCTGGACAAACAATAAGGATTACTTGGATTTTACAAACTGTCTATGTTTTAATTGTTTAAAATAGGACTGCTGGCTGTATTTGAACAGTATCACAGCTACAGAGGAAGGCTCAGGGATATTTTCTGATTCACTCTGATCTCATTCTCTCACTCAGGTGACAGGATTCACAGGAACACTGTGGCAGAGAATCAGAAAATGCTAAAACTGCAGCATCCCTATTTTAGTCAAATTTCACTCACTCAGTCTCTCAGTGACACAGCTCTTTCATACACAATATATGTGTCGGTGGATTGCAGATACCAGCCTTACATTTTTCAATGCTCTTTAGCTGGAGCTTAACTTCTTCTTACTTCTTCATCTGTAACCCAGACCCTGAGCTTGACCTTCTTTATGATAGCTGTTTGCTAAACATGACTCTAGATATTGTGCCATCGTGGAACTATTAAAGTTGTGTTCCAGTTGTCTCTTTTGGAACACAGTTGGAAACTAACTGGACTAACTACTACTTGAGAGACAATGGAGCTCTGTCAAATAGTGCTTAATACTTTTAAACATTGCATTTGAAGCCTGCCAAAGTGAATGACAGGCTTTTAAATTATATATTTCTATCTTATTTTGTTACATGTGTCTATTATGTCATCTATAAAAGAATATGTAATAAAAACAAAACAATGAAATAGTTCCTAAATCACTTGTTTTGACATGCATGTATTTTTGTCTTCAGTCACAACCGATTGAATCAGCTCTCAGAATAGAAGTCATACAATAAGGATCATGTTATGGATTTGTTCACAAATGTTACTTAAAGGTCCATTATGCAACTTTTTATGTAAATTCTTAAAACAAATAGTGTATTTAACCCAGTGGCTGTAAGTGGGCGTCTTTAATTAAAAAGAACATTTCACAGACAAAGGTCACATATGGCACTTTTCAAAGTTTTGGAGTTCCAAAATGTGTCCATTTACTCCACACACGGTGATGACCGTGAGAGGTGTCACACTTTGCATTCAGATCTATTGTTTTGATGGTAGGAGAAAAAGGAGCTCCCAGGGAACCCTGCACACAGGAAGAACATGCAAACTCCACACAGAAAGGCCCCTTCTGGGTGGAATCAAACCCAGGACCTTTTTGCTGTGTGGCACAAGTAGTAACCACTGCCCCACCGTGCCAACCTACATTTATCCACACAAAAAGTTGAATAATGCCAATTCAAACAAGACTTTTTCAGTCGGGAAAAAAAACACATGTTCATAAAACAGATAAAAGTAAGGTATTCTGCTTTAACTAAGTAAGTAAGTAATCTTTATTTATATACCGCCTTTCACAGACCAGAGTCACAAAGCGGTTTATAATTGTGGGCATTTGTCTCTCACTCCACACAGAGGAGGGAGCGGGGTCCTCCTTTGCTGATCTCTTGGCCTGATCCCTCTTGAAAAAAGAGTTTTGAGCTCAATGGTTGTTTGCCTGGTTTAGTATTAAAAAAATATAACAAAATTCCAACCTGTTTTACACATAATCTTTTTATCCCTCTATCTCAACAACCTTGAAGCAAAATATGAAAACTTTTGTCTAGTACAGATATATAAATCCTTAGCTTACGTGGACAAATGCACAGATCCAGGTTAAGTGCACTTCCTTCTAACTTTCACACTCCTAATACCTCAGCTCCATCAGTGATTTAGGGATGTCAATAGGTTTTGAGAGACGCCTTTCCAAGCATATTGATGAAGCGATTAAAATGATTAAAATCAGATTTGGTGTCAGAAACTCTGCTCAACTTAATCCTGTGGAGTTTTCCTCTCTGAATGATAATCAATGATAGTAGAAGTCTCTGAAATTCACAATGATTGAAAAAAGAATGTTGGAAAGGAGTTTGCCAAAGTGTTGTTTAAACTATTACTTAGTCTTAGTGCAGATAGACCAACAATAAGTAAAACATTCATATGGAGAGATGCTAGATAGTGTCAGGTGATGCTGGGTGTTGGTGAAACTGAGGGATAGGATGCATAACTGATATGTGTCTGTGTAGGTTTCCTCCGTGTGCTCCGGTTTCCCCCACCACTAAAACATGTACAATAACCAGAAAACATTGGCACAAGCAGGCTCACTAAAATCTTGGTATTTTGTCCCTGGCAGTCAGATGGAAATATTTACATTAAGTTGCTGTTGTTTTTAAATGAGGGTAGGGTTGGGGTTATGGTAAAGGCTAGTCTTATTTTCTGAAGGATGAATAAAGTCTCTTTTTGCACCAGTCAGCAGATGTTCAACTGTGCAAAGTCTGGTTAAAAAGTGCAACTGTTAGAGGCCCATTAGTCAGTGTATCTCTTAATGCTGATTTATTTATACAACATAGCCACACCACTACTTGCAGGATCTATTTGTTTCACTTTACTCCCTGGTCCATGCCGTTTGCGCACTAGCAAAGTGCAAAACAGCAATACAGACAAACAACCACAGCATGCAGTGGATTCACCTGCATGACAATTCAGTGAACAGAGAAAGAAAAGGCGACTTACACTGTGTTGCATTGTCCTCCACACAATCCTCTGGGAGCAGCAGTGGAATGAAGAAGAGACAGTTTTAATTTGGACATTTAGAGATTTAGAGGGAGAATGGAAAACCGCATGTCTGTTAGGAAGTGAAGTGTTACAATCTGCATGATTAGTAGTACCAGACACACACATTTTATATGGACTTGCCTAATTCTGAAACGTGACGCCATCAGCATTTTGAAAGAAAAGATTAATTCTGAATAGTAATCTATTGTATTACATTGACTGTATACGCTTAGATCTGTGGTGATCCTAAAAACATCTTAATAATAATACAAATAATAAATCAAACGTTTTCATTGGTGCTGTCAAACAATTCATAATTCAATTAATTGTCGTTGATTGCACGAATGTCATTAATCGTATTAATGTCATTACTCATGATTGATCACAAATAATAAGTAAGTCTTATTTATTTATATAATACCCTTCACAGACAAGCGTCAAAGCTCTTTACAATTGTGGGGGTCTAAATATCCCCTGTTCTAAATTGATTTGGATGGAAAAGGGGTGGATGAAGCAAAAAGCTTATAATACTCCAAACCCCTGCAGAAAGTATCATATAGGCTTCTCAATTATTGCTAAAGGCCAATCTTTTTTTAATGTTTTCATTATAGTCAGTTAGATATTTATTTTTTACAGTGTATATGACTTTCACACACAACGGAAAAAACTATAGCTTCAATGTTGGGGCTGTGACCTGGAGATAGCTGTGATGATGGACGTCTAGAAATCACTAGTGAGTGTGACTGGTTTTGTTTTCTTGGACGCCTCTCTAAAGTACAGCAGGCTTAAAGGTAGGCGGACAGGCGCACGTAGGAGATGGAGGGCTGATTTCAGACAGTGCCCGTTGTTGACGCCTGGAGCATGCTTCATGCACTGGTATTAAAGCTCATTAAGCACATTATCCAATCAGAGTAGAACGTGTGTCTCATTTGGGTTGCCAGTTCTCTACCCACTTTTTTCAGGAACAAAACTAAAACAAATTAACATACTCAACACATATTAATCAAGTCACAGTAAATGGGTTAGGGTTACAAGTACTGTATGTTAGAAGTAGTCATGTAACATACAAAGAGTTTGACAGTTGGAATCAGTGCTTGGAGCTACATGTGTTAATGACAGTATATATTGGCAACAAAAGTTGTTTTGTAAGTGTAAAGACTTAATCCAGTAAGAGCGTGAACTGCATATGGTCCCTTTCAAAATAAAGATTTACAAAACCAAAACAAATGAATGTAGATTGTGTCTATTGGCTGTTGTGTCAATAGTAACTCTTTGGACGTTAATTATTTCCCCCTATATTTATCTATCAGAAACATGTTTCATGTGTTGTGCAACACTAACAGGCCATTGATCATCATGCCCTGAGCTAATTGTCAAATCACACACACACAAAAAAAGATTTTACATAATTCAATTTCATTTCAGTTCAATTTATTTCTTTATAGCCCTCAATCACAAAAGCAGTCGTCTCTTCCATGTGAGAAGTATTTGTGTGAAGGGAGTGGGATGACCAATGTCTATAAATGTTAAAATGTGGAAATGTCCCTAAATGCAATACTGTTAAGAAATTGTATGTTTTATTAGCGGGGCGACAGTAGCTCAGTTGGTAGAGCATTGGCCTTAAGGCCGGAAGGTCGTGGGTTCAATTCCCACCTCTGCACCTTCTCCACCGACTCCCACTGATGACTGCTGTCGTTGTGTCCTTGGGCAAGACACTTAACCCCACTTTGCCCAAAGCCCCCACTGAAAGATCAAGGCTATGCTCACACTCAGAGAGCAGCTGTCCTCCTGTGGACTCACCACCTGCAGAGGGTCAGTGAGGGGCTGGTGCTATGAGACTTGGGTGGCATCTCTGATTGCCACCCCCCTGACCCAGAAATGGATGGATGGATGGATGTTTTATTAGCATGTTAATGAATGTGAATATATTCAGTTTAGAACAACTTTGGGTTGACCTACATTGGAGTGTGGAAATCTACCATTTAGGTGTTGAAACCAAGCTAATAATTATCCACATTGTCCACAATGGGGTGTTTTGTGAAACTATGTTGCAAGACGTTGTCCAACAAGTGGTTAATGTTTTACTTTTTTTTACTTTGCTTTTCCATGTGTGAAGGTGTGGGTTATCTGTTCTGGAATAAATAAGGTGCCTGTAGGGTATCAAGCATGACTTGCTTTTTGGCTGCGTTAGGACGCGCAGGCTTCCTTCGCAGCTGAAAGACATCTCCTCTTGTTACATGCAAGTAACAATAAATAACAATAAACTAATACCTTGTCTGTTGTGTGCTTCTGTCCAGATATCTGTAGCATTTTTAACAAATACTTACAAACAAAAAAAAGCTATGAGAAGTAACCTACTTAAATACCAACCTTCTGAGCATTTCTGAAAGGTATTGCATGTCTAACATTCGTGGGATCTATCTTGAGTAACTAAAGCGGGAGCTGTGTGAGAGTGACACGGTGACAGTATCTTTTGATTATTTTTGACGTCAAGAACGATCAAATATGAAATGTGAAATTGTGACCAGATATGAAACCTCCGCGCCTCAAACTGACAGCTCGTCTTTTATTTAAAGACTGGTTTTGACAAAATGTTCAGATAAATTATTAAAGGAAACAAGAACCTGAGGATTTTTTGCATAAAAGAGCAATTTTCTTTTGGTTAGCTCAGTTGTTTTTTTCCTTCTCTTTACATGTCTCGTTGTGATGTGTCGACGCCTAAGAATAGAGACAGCCTTGTTAGACTTAATACAGCTTGTAAAAATGACAAGCTGAAGACAAGGCACAATAATAAAAGCTGTCACACAATTTATGTCAACTAATTACTTGTTTCAATATTAACTGAATTTGAGAGTACGCACTAATTGCTTTCAAATGAGCTTTGACATTGACTGAATCATATTTTACATCAAGGGGGGGAAAAAGTTCTCATTTATGCAGTAAAAAAGTATTTCCATAAGGCTGCAAATCAGTATCCTGCCAAGAAATAATGAAAATGTTTATTGCCATTTTCAGTTCCATAGAACACACTCTTGGCCAATCCAATTTCAGCTCTATGCCTGCTCTATGTGTGTTTCTTTGTTTTTTTTGTTCCTTGCCAATGCAGGAGGATCGGTGAGGACAGTGAAGATTCTGATATAATTATCAAGTATTTAAGGACATTTATTAACATTTATGGACATTGGTCATCTGCCTCCTTAGATCCTATGTGTTTGTTATTATTGTATTTCCTTTGTTCGAACGGTTTCATATTTTGATCTGATGTTGATGAATCGACAACTTCTCCGAGATGACTGCTGTTGTGATTTAGAGCTTTACAAAAATAACTGGAACGTAATCTTCTTCCCAGAAAAGCGCATACAAAGCCGATGCACAAGTAATATTATTATTAGTGGCAGTTTTTAATTTGTTCTTGGCTGAGAAAGGAAGGCAGCAGAGGTGTAGGGTTTGTGCATATCTACAAACAGGAGGAATTACAGTTCAGACTGCAGCTTGAAAACATATTTTTTTAAAGTTAAGGACAAGTTATGACTGAGCTTCAACTCTACCATTGACCTTGTAGCACCTCCTCCTCACCGCGACCAGGGGCCAGTGGCTCTTTATCATCCGTGAATGTTCTTCGCCAGGGTTACAAGTGCAGAACATCACCTAACCCACTACACCCTCGCTGCAACTGTGGCTTTGTGGCTTTGTCCTATTTTGTATTTCTTTCCAATCTCAGTTTTTTTTCCAAGTAAAACACGTTGTATGATTCCCAGCTGTCAACTGCAAAGGTGTTAATAAGAAACACTTTTAGGTATGTCAAAATCCTTTGCTTTAAACAATAGCATGTTGTTGTTCCAGGTCATAAGAAAATCTGTCAACATGGAAGATGACTACCATGGGAAGTTTCATGTTCGTCTGAAGTATTTTCCAAAGAACACGTCAAAAGTCAAATCAAAAGTGAAGTTAATGTGCTATTAATAAAAAAAAAAACATTCGTAAACGTAGACATTATTGTCTAATCTACTGCATAAACAAAAACAATTTCAAGATTGGGTCATGGGGTCGATACTGTTTTTGCGTTCACAAGAACCGCAAGATTAAATTGTGATATTGTTCAATGTTATGTTTAGGGGAACATTCACACTAGTTGGTCTGGTTCATTTCAACTGGAAAAACTCTGGTTCACGTGAGTCAAAAATGCTTTGTTGGTGGACCAATCAGGAGAACCCGTGTCCATTAGTCACTTTAGTCATTCACATTTTGAAACAGATTCATTCAATCCTTTCTTCATGTTCACGTCCTTGTTAATCTATTTCGGGTGACACTGTGTTAAAGAGGGATCAAACCCATGACCATTAGGTTCAAAGAGTCACTGTTGCCCCTGAATCAAACATTTCGTTCCCCAGGTGAACCAGAATCGGTCCAGTTAAAGTGAATCAGACCCTAAAATGATTTGTTATTGTATATAAAAGGATTGTGGAGGTGTGGGTTGGAGGTGGTTGTTACATACCAGTCTGTCGAGGCTTGTCCCCGAAGCCGTCGTGGGCCTTTCTTCGTGACTAAAGTGTTTGAATCGCCCGCTGAATACATCTGAAATCCCTCGAGCCGAGCGTCCAATTCCCGAAGGCTTTGGAGGGCCGCATCCCTGAAAGACCTGAAACCAGCAATCAAGATTAAACACAAACTCTTCTTTTAAAACACTATGAATACATTTGGACATAGCATTTTTTCTTCTGTAGTAAGTAACATGGGATTGAAATGTGTTTTCTTCTTCAAATGTTGTCTCAAGTTAGCCTGACTTGAAATCTGAAGCAGTTGGTAAGAAAACTAGAATTGACTATGTTATAAATTTCCTCGAAGGATACACATACACTTCAAAATGGAAAGTTTTTCTTTGACTACGCTACTGACATTTTCCCTTCTGAGATCTCTGGCCTATATAAGCTCACAGCATCTCACGCCGGTCTGATAAGAGACAGCAAATATACCGTCCATCTGGATCACAATCTCCCTTTATATGCCAGATTAGAGCAAGAGCCAAGAACAGCTAATGCCTCGAGCGCCAACAGCATACGCACGGCTTTACAATAAATACAATGTGTGGTTAGGTTATAGCGTTGTCATTAATTATCCAAATACAGTCTCCTCAACGGTGGGATTCGTGACATGTCTTCTATACAGTACAGTAAGTAAGGTAGGAGGTCTTGACAGAAAAAAAGTTTTAGAGAAGTAAAATCAGATTACACGTCTTCATCTCATTAGAAAACATCTTTTTCATACATGTTATAAAAAGCCTCGTCAGTCACTGTTTGGGGCTTTGGGCTGAGAGCTAATAAGCAGAGCAAGATTGGTGCTTTTTTGTGAGCCAATGCTACAACCAGTGTGGAGAGACAGGAACTACTGTGTTACATATTCAATTATTTTGTGGTTTGAAAATTTGGTACCCCAGCTTGTTTAGTTTGACCATATTTGTTGTCATGTTTTGTTGAAAAAAAAACAAAAACAAGCAGTTAATACATATATTGGGATTGTCCTAATGTTGTTGTCCATGTTCTAACTCTCTCTTCTTGCGGCTCTGGCATGTATATTCTACAGTTTGAACAATGATTGTATTGTGTAAACAGGTTGACATGGTGATGGTTCAGTTGCCGGGGGCCCCAAACAGCTTTTCATTACGATTGTTGGTGTGGTGAAATCTAGTACACACAGTCAGGACAAACAGCTGGCCCTTCTCTCCCATTTTCATCATGTTTACACTCACAGCCATCAAGACTGAGACAGAGAACCTCCCGCCAATAATTGGAATGTTGTTTGCCTGAATAGCAGGGCAGCTGTGGCTATAATAGTGTGAATAATGCCCAAGATGCCTTGTGGCTGTCTTCAACTCTATAGAGAAATGGCCTGGTGCAGATTTTTTAATGCACCCAGTAAAAAATCTGAGGGTGGTTTGATTTGATAAAATCTCCAACATCATCTGATTGTTTTTGTTGCCATAATCAAAAAGAACAATCTAAAGTGAAAGGGCATTGGCTACCTGCTTGTGCAAAAAAACCCAAATAAAAAAATTAAATATTTGTTCCTATGTCTAAGCCACCAGTTTGGTAGTAGTTCAGTCCTAGTTTTATACTGGTTTGGCAATTATTTTTCATTATGATACACCAGATGTTATAAAATGAAATTGAAACTGAATAAGATATGGTGTTTGGTATTTGCTACGACCCCAAACTCTCCCCAAAAGTGGTGATGCGTTGTACAATTTTTCGGCCCAGAGGATACAGACATCCAATAAATTTGGCCCTTGGGAAAAATAAACAAATTAAGCAGAGTAATATGTAAAACTGTCATGTATATATTTCATGTTAAGCTGATGTCTGGAATGCGTCTTGCAGTAGACATAATATGACTATTCACTATCTGATATGAACCCAGAAACTCAAAGTAAGTTGTTTCGTAGAGACTTTCGAGATGAATAACAATAGTTAGACCTATGCTAAGCTGGAACCAAGGGTCATTGCTTCTTCCAATCCTTTTTCCAAACCATGTATGTGTAAAAGTTGGAGTATGTGTTGTGCAAGTCTAAAATGAGCAGATTAAGTTATCTGTGATTTAAGATATTCAAAGCCAAAGTATTGAGATTGGTATGGGACAATCTCTGGTTCGGATCAACTCTTACATTGTGAACATTTATGGGGCTGTGGGCATGGCTAACAGAGCTATATAATTTGATATATTGATGGGAGGATAGGTTTCTGCTAGCCATACCTTTGCAGACACATGCATGCTGTTCTCCTGCATGGTCATGATGGCGTCGGAGATCTTCACGTCGATTGGCTGGATCACTGACTCGAGATGGAGCGGCCCCTGGAGCCTGTTGGCCACCATCAGCATGGCATCTGTCAACGTAGGTACACAACTTTAGCATTATCACGGAAACAAAAGACACAACAGACACAATGCTTTGACAAACACCAAACAAGGAGCAGGTGTGTGATGTGGGTAGGAATGAGCAGGAAACCTGTGATAGCTGCCCTTAATCAGAATCCCCCCAACAAGCAAACGTGCAGCAGTGCAGAGTAAACAAGTACACAGGGCGCAGACATGGAGCGGCAGAGAGGGGATTGGGAGATGTAATTAAATATCAGTGTGCTCAGCGTACAAACAGCCTATTAATAAGCCAACATCTCATCTACATACAGGCAAACACAGCCAATGGAGGCAATTAGGGTTTTTATGGAACACACCACGGCATTCAGCAACTGTTGATCACCGCTGAGCAGAAATGTGAAATTGTGTGACGTTAGTTTGATTTACACAAGTACTATTTTAACATACAACCATTAAAGTAAGGCCAGTACTTACAGCCCCAGACTCAGGGCTGTAAGTACAGATTACTTACTTACTTCCTTCACTACATATTTATCAGTGGTTGACAAAACTCTACTGTACATACCCTATTCTAAAGATAGGGTATGTCCCTGCAGTGTTATTGATTTCACAAAAGAGCTGCTCTCACAACTGAGCTCCATCTGCCACTATAGAATAAAAATCTTTAAAAAAAACCTAGTTGCCTTTTTAAGTTTGTGTCTTATTTGACTAGCTTGTGTGAGTGAATCCTCTTTCATGACCATCGTTGGATAATTCATTACTTATGCAGAAACTGCTGCTGCTCTGGAGATAAAGTTAACCCTTTTGATTAACAACCTTATAGTGAGGTTTCCTGTGCTGCTAAAATCCAATCTATTCCCAACAGAGTTTAATACAGAGACAACTGTAGCACCTTCAAGAAGAGCTGACCATATTAGTGCACAGACACCGCAGCACAAATCAATGGCTAAACATATTACACTGGCTGCCACTTTTCATTGTCATTAGATTTCAATGGCTGAAGATAATTCTGCAATATATCCTGTGTAGCCTAGCAAAACTTTATAGCATTGCAAATTAGATAACCAATTTCCCTGTATTCTTCAACAACTATTGTCATTATCATTCATAAATTGACAATATCGGACATTTTTGGTTTATTCTTCCCTTTTTCATTTCAACTGTATTTAAAGATGCAGTCAGTGATTTTTTCCAGATGCATTTTTTTAAATATTGTGGGAAAACGTTCCTAAACCCTAACAGAAGTCAAGTAATCATGTGTTTTCAAATAGTAAGGGAGATTGACCAGATGCCTATTGTCTCCAAAAATTAACAAATAATACTTTGGAGCAGACTGATAAAAATAAACCAATGGGATTCGTTCATCCCCAACGAACCAATGGGATGCGTTTACCCCCTTCACCCTCTTCCTGTTTCTCGCGAGTGCACGCACCTGAGTTGGATTTTCTAAACATGACTGAATTGTGTGATAATCGCAGAGGACATCTGAGATCTGGCAGTGCATTCACAAGGTAATTTTCACTGACATCACACATAACGGCCGTGCGCGGTATCTCTCCTCTTCACGCAGTTCATAAAGTCTCACGTCTGACCACAACAGCCACAGGTACCATGAGGACAAACACGTACATGTGGATTTTACTGCTCTACCGCACTTTCTTTTTGTACGGACTGCCTGTGAACGCCCCAAATACTAACATACGCGCAAGCCAACAAATAGTAAGGGCTGCTGCAACACGTCTGTACTGTAATAGGACAGAGTGCAGAGTAAACGCACGAACACAACCCATCGGTCTGATCATTTAGTGTCAGTGAACACATTACACTGTCCCCTACACTTCTCTATAGACCTCATAGAGACAGCAGCAGCCACGACTCTGCAGCTGTGTACACAGCCGTGATACGCGACTCCTCTGCTTATCAGGAGAATGAGACATGTTCAACTGATGACAGATGATATCACGTGAGCCGGTTGTTTTGGTTTGGTGGAGAAGCGAGGGGAAGGGGGGAGGGGTTTCAAGTTGGTGCTAAGCTAAGCTACGGCTAAGCTAACAAAATCGCTTACTGCATCTTTAAAGTGATTGTCTGGAGTTTTTTCAGAAAGAGACAGAGAGGTACTTGATTTGAAAAAAACGACGCAAGCCCCTTTCCTTTCTGATTGGTCTACACCTACGTTTCCGTAACACTTTGAAATATTAATCAGAGAACACATTATACATATACATTATTAATACACATGCACAGAGGTTTTCAGAATTATTTGTGAACGTTTTAATGAAAAAAATAATGTTTTTATGCACAAAAAAAGCGGCAAACCAGGAAGTGCTATTATCATGAATTGCACATTATAGGACACATCTGCAGAGGATCTGATTATGGATATAGGTTCAGTATATACAAAAGTACCTCAGCGCGGATGTTCAGAATTCTTTGTTCAGTTTTCATGTAGTTCCAGAGCCTAATAGAGGCTTGATTCTGAGACGCCGCAAAAACAAACAACTGAGCATGCGCGCAGCTGCGAGCATCAGCAACGATGATTGACAGCCCTTGGCATGACTCGATTGGTTAACCTCGACGGCACCGTGGATTCTGAGCTATGACTCATGACTTATTTTATATCAACATTTAAGGCCAGGAGGTCAATTTAACACATTTCCTAAAATTTGTGATTCATTTAGAGTTACAGACTATCACTTTAATATATTGTAGTATGGCAAGGCAAGGTTGTTCAAATGTTGTGGTATTGCACTGTTCATAAACAGGGCAACTCAAAGTGTCAAAGTGAGTGTAATCCCAGTACATTGAAACATGTGAAGAAACAACCCTTCAGTTGTATGCACAACTAAACAGAACTCTTTTTAACCTGGATTTGAAAATTGACGCCTGTCTCACATTTTCATCAAGACTGTGTCCTTTATTGGTGTGTGCATCCTTATGGAGAATATCCCAAAGCATGATTTGAAGGTGCTAACATTTCCATAAACTCAGCATGTGACGTGCCACCTCTATAAAAAGGTGCGTTTAATGACTGCAAAAAAAGTAGTTCCCAAAGGTTTTTGTCGTTGCTTAGCAACGTGCTGCGGCCAGGCAGTGTGACCCATGGATCTATTGGGCTGAGCTCCTCTAGAACTTTCTCTCGATCTACATGAAAACTGAACAAAGAATTCTGAACATCTGCGGTGAGTAACCCACAAATATACTTAACCTTAATCCATAATCAGATCCTCCACAATGGTAACGGTTAATTCCGGGTTTACTGTGATCGCATTGTGTTGCAAGACAGTATTTTTGTCATAAAAACATTATCAGATTCTGAAAGTAAGTAAGTGAGTAAGTAAAATTTATTTATATAGCGCCTTTCTCAGACCAGGGTCACAAAGCGCTTAACATTAAAAGCAAGATTAATACATACATACTGTATATGCAACCTCTGTGCATGTGTATTAAGAATTTACTGTATATGTATATAATATACTGTATTATCCGATAAACATTTAATTTGTTGATTGATTTTTATTTGTGTTTATTGAGCAGAGCTACATCATGGATCTATGTGTGGCTACACTAGCGGGGTTAGGCGACTAACAGGTAGGCTATCTACTTATTCATATTAAACAGGATGGTGAAGGTGCAGCTGGAGATGAGAAATGGTGGTGTATCTCTGAGTAAATTGAACTCCCGTTAACCTCAGGAGCAATTCCTCCAACTTCTCTCAGAGAGACAAAAGTACTGTCGCTGAAAGCTCGTCGACGAATTGGCCACATCTGACGCACGTGAATTACATGCATTACATGGTTTCAGAGGTCCGTTATCAAGAAACAATGACCCGTAGAACGTTTTGAAATTACATTCAAATCAATGGAGCGTTCTACTTCTACTGTGATAATGACTTGTTATGATAACCTTAGACTTATAAGGTTATAGAGTCAAACAAGCAACAGACTATGCAGCAGTCTAAAAGTAGAGACACATACAGAGCGTTTTTAAGGCCTGCACATGATGGACCCACACTGGGACTCCGCTCCCCTCTGCTCTGGCACATCATATGGCATTATGTTAGGGTTCCAAATATAAGCTGTCACCAAACCACTTCTAAGAAATCACACACATCTCAGCAAATTATATTATCAAGTGTGGTGGAGAAGGTTGTTGCATTAGCTAATCACTGATGCACGCCGTATACCTATGGAGTTGTGATGGATAACTGGTTTATTTCCGCATCTATAAACAAAACGTAGATTTTGAGAAGGAATTTACAAATATCATATATAATTAACGTATTGTGCAATTTTCCTGCATATTTTTCAGTAGATTGATTGAGAGTGTAAGTGGAAATAAGAGTAGTTAACATTGACTGCCAGCCGTTTTTTAAGATTTCACTGATTTTCAAGACCCATAAAATATTATTTCCTAAAACTAAGTGAAATATGAAACCAGATTCTGAAAGACTGGATTGTCTACTTTGATCAGATGAAATACGTTTCTTTCTAGCTATTTTTATTGTCCTGTAATCCCCAGTCGAATAGAGGGTCTCAGACAAATACGTCAATGGCAGTCAATGAGTTAATAAAGGTTTGAACAATGGGTAAAAAAATAAAGTGCATTTTTAGATTAGATCATTAAACACACACATAATAAATGATGCAGACTCCACTCCCCAGTGTTTGTGCTTGTTTGATTTCCTATATAAAACTTTATAATATACAATTGTACTAATGGCAGCAGATTTTCATGTTTGAATCAGTTTCAGCTGATGTTGTGCCCTGTGATGGTTTTCAATGAAAACATTGTGTGTCATGGGTCAAACATGTTGAGAAACCCCACATTAGCCACAGTCACCTGCTGAAAGCACATAACAAAGTCCATGATTTTAAATGCAATTCAATGAGTGTTCTGACAATTTTATGAGCCCATTAGACTATTGTGAAAAGTGTGCGCTTCTGTGTGTGTAAATTGTTGTGTGTGAAAATGGCTCTGTGTGAAAAGTGCGCACGCCACCGTCA